AAGGGATTTGCCTTAAGAGTAGTTCCTCAATAGTTTTCAATGACTCCCTAGTCCCTTTGTGAGCAAATATAAGCGCCTTTGTTTGGCTTTTAAAACTCTTCACAAGCTGGCCCTAACCTACCTCTCCAACCTGGTTATGCATGACTCCCTCACGCAGAACACTCCATCTCTCATCTCTGTGCCTTTGCACTGGCTGTGCCCTGGGCCCCGAGTACTCTTCCTCCTTACCTCCACCTTACAGGATGCCTTATTTCTGCCAAGATTCAGTTCAAGCACTACCTTCTCCAGGAGTCCACCTGCAGTGGCTGCCTCCTCCCCAAAGCCACCTTGCCTTCATTCTGTTTCTGTGTAGAGGGGCATGTGGTCTTTTGCCCTATGGAACAGAAACTCTTCGAGAACAGGGACTGTTTCTTTTTTGTCTTTGCACCATCCCAGTGCTGGCTATATAATCATTAAGAACTTTAAAAATGTTTGTTGGATGCTTGGTTGATTGAAGGATTACTGAATGATGGCCACTAAGGGCCCTTCCAGCTCTGCTACCCAATTCTGGAAATTCCAAGTTGGGGAAGATTCCCAGGCTTTCCGAGAAGAGAGGTCTGGGGAAGCTTGCAGGGCCAATGTGGAAGCTGCTGCCTAGAAACTCTTGTAATAGAGAAACCTGGGGCTGTGGGTTTATCCCGCTCTGACTTCTGACGGCCAGCTCATTGAAGGCCACCCCCCAACACACACACACACACACACGCACCAGTGACGTATGCCAACAGCCCCAGACGTCTCCATCTTCCCACACTGACCCATTCTATTTCACTATAGATGAAAAGTACTTGGACCTAATTTAAGGGAAACCAGGTAATCGCCCAGGGTCCCCTGCGCTCCTATGGCCTTCAGAAAGTGATTCATGTTGTTAATAAGCTGTTAGAAAGTGATTCATATTATTAACAAGCTGCCCATGGCTGTAACGAGGGAGAGATGAGGCCAAGGAATAGGTCTTTGTAAGAATAACGAATGACAAATATCCAAACCAGAAGAGAACTTAGGGATCATTTAGTCTTCATCCCATCACTTTATAGATAAGGAAGCTGAGGTGCAGAGAAAGGGGTGTGATTTGGCCAAGGTCACACAGGTGAGAAGTGGGAGAGCCAGAATTTGAACCCGGTCCTCGGCCACACCAGCCGGTTGTCAGTCAGTGGGTTATGCAACCTTCACTCTCCCCCGTTAGTCCCCCCAGTGCCCTCGTTTTGCCTCAGTGAACCCCAAACTCATCCAAACCCTTCCTTGGGTTTTCTCAGAGCCTAATGGGGTCCCTGTTCTCCAGGCTGCCACTCCAATGCACGAGACTCTGCCTTTGGGCCGCTGGTTGCCCCGGTCCTACCACCTGCTCTAAGTCCCAAGGTAGTACCTGAGGTTAAGTGTCTACATTGGTCACAAGCACACGCTTGCTATTAAACATTAGACAGCACACTCACAATCACCACTGTGGGCAAAGCCAGTGCTAGGGGTGGAACGTGCCCTTCCTCCTGATCTCCCTGCCGAGGCCCTATCACCCTCCCATCCTCTGAGGCTCTTGGCTCCCTCCCTCTCATTTTCTGTGCGGATGCCAAGCCCTACTGAGTCTGCCTCTGAAGACCCACTCTCATCCTGCCATTTCCTTCTCAGCTTCTGTATCCCGTACCCCACACTCTAATCCCTGCCAGTCTGGACAGGAGGAACGGGAGAGGCTGGCTGCGTCAGAGCCTCAGTCAAAGCACACACAGCAAACACCCTCCCCCCCCAGGCTTGGTTAACGGACTGATCCATCAACAAGCCCTTACTTTGTGCCAAACACCGTTCTAGGCACTGAGGATACAAAGACAAGAATGAAATAGTCCCTGCCCTCAAGGAGCTTCTGTTCCACAGAATGAGATGTTATGTACACATAAAAATATCTAAAATACAAGTACAAGCAAAGTAAATATTGGGTCACTTGAGGGGGAGGGGAAGATCAGGAAAGGAAGGAGGCCCAACTAAACCGCTAAAAGTAGGATTTTTCCAGGAGGGAGATGTCCCAAGTGATGCACTGAGTCTCTGGCTGGCCCAGGCACAGGGGCCTCGAGGGCCCTTCTGGATCACACTGACCCAATCCTTGCAGCTGTCTGGTGTTCCTTCCTCCAGCTTCCCTTTGTGTGAGTCTCGTGCCTGGGGGACAAGGGCTTTATTCACTGGTGCAGGATGGGGTTGTCCCATCTGTGTCTCCCCAAGCAGAGCCTTGCCAGTCTGTGTGCGGGGTGGGGGTGGGGAAGGGGAAGCCAGCTTGGGGGAGTTCTTTATTGAGGAACCAATGGTTCTTTTAGAGATGGAGCTCATTGGAGGCCTCACCTAAGGAGAACAGAAGAGGACACTAGGGGAACGTGACGAAAAGGCACCTGGGACGTTTTCCCGAGACAGCCAGACTTTGATTCATGGTTTGTCTGTACCATGCAGAAGGAAGAAAACTGGGGTCTTGTCCAGGTAGAACATGAAATGGTTGAGGGAGTCCACACAGCCTGTCATCATGAAAGCAGGAGGCTCCCATCTCCTCGCCCAAATCCTCTTCCTTGATAGAAGAGATGGGGGAGACGTAGAGTCACTCCAGACAAGAGCAGATGACCTGCCTGCTCTTAAAATTGTCCAGCTAAGTGGTCACTACCCCTGGTAACTGACACATCCCCCCGACTCCAGCTCTGGCCACCCACAGACAAACACAGGCTAGTGTTCCCCACCCCCATCTCCAGATCTCTGGTCTTCTAGGAACAGAAAGACAAAATACATCTCTTTTGTGCCCATGTCTGGGCCCGGGGAGAGATACATCAACGCACATAAAGTGCCAATTGAAGATGGCATCCCAGATACCCTGAGAATGGAACTCCTCAGTCCACAAATATCCTAGCTGAAGAGTTAGAGTTTCCCTTTTATAAACACGTTCCCTCAGCAAACTGAGAAAACAAGGAATGGGGAGGGAGACCTGAGAGGGCTGGACCTCCCTTATTCTGGTAAACAAAGATCACTTCTTTCAGCAGTACAGGTCCAACTGGCCAAATGCACCCCCTCCCCCAATAGGATACAACTGCTAAGCTGTTTTACACCTGAATCCTTTCTTCTCAACCAGTGGCAGGAGCCAACCAGTTATTGATTAGTGGGAGTGGCTTTAGCTCTCTGCTTTTTACATTCAGTCCAATCCAACAAGCATTTATTAAGCACCCACTGTGTGCAGCACACTGTGGAGTTAAAAAGACCAACCAAAAAGCAGTCTCTGCCCTCAACGTTAGACATGACTCTATATAAGAATGAGGGAGAGAATACTGGCTGTGATGGGGACCAGGAAAGGCTTCCCAGAAGAAGCCGGGGGTTTTAAGAGTCACAGGGCAGCTAAGTGGCTCTGTGGATAAAGCACCGACCCTGGAGGCAAGAGGACCCGAGTTTGAATCTGGCCTCAGACATTTGACATGTGCCCTGGGCAAGTCACTTAACCCCATTGCCTAGCAAACAAAAGAAAGAAAGACAGAATCACAGGGCAGGAGGCGAATTTTAGACATGGGGAACAGCCCGTGCAAAGCCAGGATGGCAAGAAAGAAAATGCTGAGTTTGAGGAGTTGTAAGTCACATAGTTTGACCAAAATGCAGAGTTTGTGAAAGGGAATAATGTGGAATGATACGGGAAGGGCAGACAGGAGCTTGACAGCCAGACTTGGAGTTTGTATTTTAATTTAGTGGCAACATAATGTCCCTGAGGGTTCTCAAACAAGAAAGTGGTACAGGCTTGTGGCTTGATAAAATGGTGAGCTTTGTGAAGGTAGATTGGAGAGAAAAGGGCCCGGAAGGGAACAATCTGATTAGAAAATAGCACCCAATGCCAGGGTTGAGAGGTGAAACTCTGAACCAGGGTGATGACGCATCGGGAGGAGCATCAGCTGAGGACGGCAGCTGATTAAGTGGGGAGCGGGAGGGGGGGAGGTGATGATGATTCAGAGGCTGAGTGGCTGAGTGATAGAAATGGGGAGATTTGGAGGAGGGACAATGGGGGGGGGAGATGATCAATTCTGCTTTATATATGTTGAGTTTGAGAGGTCTACAGGACATCCAACTGTGGATGTCCAATGGGCAGCTGGTGATTCAGGACTAGAGCTCAACGACATAAAGATACACGTGAGAGTCTTCTGTAGGGAATGAAACCCATGGGAAATGGTTAGATCACCAAGAGAGGGTATCGAGGTAAAGAGGAGAGGGCCCCAGATAAAGCTTCCAACCACACTCAGAAGTAGAAGGAGCTATTGCTCATCCTTCATTCTTTTTCTTTTTTTTTTTCTTGGCTAGGCAATGGGGTTAAGTGACTTGCCCAGGGTCACACAGCTAGTGAATGTTATGTGTCTAAGGTCAGATTTGAACTCAGGTCCTTCTGAATCCAGGGCCGGTGCTCTACCCACTGCACCACCTCGCTGCCCCTCATCCTTCATTCTTGAAGAGGACCGATTACATCATGAGGGCGATGTCTTGATTTTCGAGTAAATTGGGTTTAAGTGAGAAAGAGCTTCCAAAAGAAGTCATCAACCTCACTGTCTCCTCCAGAGTCATCGAAGCCCAATGGCAAGAGAAGGAGTGACACAGATAAGAATGAGGAGAAGTCAGAGAAAGCAGAGAGCAGTGTCATGAAAACCCAGGAAGGCAGGGCAGAGTGTGTAGGAGGAGCTGGTCATCGCTGCTGTAGGGGTGGAAACAAAGCCATTTGGCCAGTGATTGGATATGGATGGTGAACAGAGGGAAGCATGCAAGAACCCTGGGGTTTCAAGGCTGGGTGACGAGGAAGATGGTGGCACCAACGATAGAGATGGGGAAATTGGGCAGAAGGGCAAATAGGGAAGAGAGGAGAAAATGAATTCCATTTAGGTCATACTGAGTATGAGGTTCTGCAAAGACATTCAGGTCCAAAGGTCGAGTGGGTCGTTGGAGATTCAGAATTGCCACTCAGGGATCATGGACCAACTTGATGAGAGGGCATGAGCTTTTATTCGGAAGTATCAGACAGGCACTTCCTCATGGAGGGCAGGAGCAACCCCACCAGCAACCACTAGTTCCCGGGAACTGGAGACGTCTCCAAGATGGCGCAGTGGCTGGGTCCTAGGACCATCCTCTTGTTGAAGGATGCACTTGTCTGTGGTCTTGAAAATCGAATAGATGGGGGCAGCTAGGTGGTGCAGTGGATAGAGCACTGGCCCTGAAGTCAGGAGGACCTGAGTTCAAATCCAGCCTCAGACCAAACACTTGACAAGTACTAGCTGTGTGACCTTGGGCAAGTCACTTAACCCCGATTGCCTCACTAAAAAAAAAAAATCGAATAGAGGAAGCAACTCACCCTCTTCTGGACATCCTTTTCACCTCCAATGCAGAGGACAGATCAGTCTCGGTGGAGCAGGCCTGCCCGGTACAGACGAGAACCAGGAAGAAAGAGGCAGTCAACGGTGCCAAATGCTGCCAAGTGTTTGTCAAGGCGGACACATATTCAGAAGAGGCAATGAGAAGCTGGGATGGAAGAAAGTTAGGGGGGTAAAGGAGTGAATGCATGACAAGGAAGCATAAGCCGCAAGGGTAGATGACTCTTTGTAGGAGTTTGACAGGGAAGGGCTCCATGAGAAACAAGGAATATGCATATATTTGAAAGGTACATGCTTCACACACACACACACACACACACAAATATGTGAAAGCTGTGGGGGGGAGAGGAGTAGAAAGGGAAGGGGGCACACTATTGTTGTCGCTTCTCAGGAGAGTGGAGGTCTAAGTTTACAGAAGGGAAGGAGATGGTCAACAGGCTTTAACATCCTACCTGAAAGGAAACCCTTGGCCCACTTTGTCCCACCTCCTGTTTGTGGAGTCCCACGCTGGAATTCCACAGGCCTCTGAGCCAGGCCAGGAAGGCCAACCTGGATCACACCCAGAAGAATGGAAATGCCTTGGGGGCAGGGCCTGTTTTCACAGGTGTTTTTGAAACCCCAGCCCCTTGCACAATACCTGGCACATAAGTGGGTGTTTAATGAATGTTTGTCCAATTAGACTTAACATCCCCCTCCTCAAAAGATGAGGACTGGAGGGTCTCCCAATCTAAGTAACCAAAACAGAAATCTTAAATTGGCCCCACAAACTCCTAGCAATCCCATTTTGGAGGCTGGTCAATAGCCCTGGAATGCAGTCAGCAGCAGATCACGGGCACCTCCCTTCTTTCTTTGCAGAGGTGGGGGACTAGGGGTATAGAATGTTGCCCATCTGGTCAGATGAGGTGACTGTGGCTTGGTTTTGTTGAACTTTTTCTTTGTTACTGGGAAAGCAGGAGAGGCAAGAGAGGGGAGGAGAATACAGAACTAAAAACAAAAGGCATCAATAAAGATTTTCCCCCTTAAATCCCAGGTGTCCGTGGAGCAGGCCTAATAGAATTGTTTCCTGGGAGGCCTCAGGGGGAAAACAAGGCCAAGAGGTGCGCAGCTAAGCCCAAGGAAAGGGTGTGGGTGAGGTGCCAAGTGCAAGGAGGCAGGCCAGGCTTGGAGTTGAGAGGCCAGTGAGGACCAGGGCAAACAGCAGGGCATGGGTGTCTTCTCTGTGCTGGGCATTGGTATCCCATGGTCCAAGGTGGACTAGAGGGTGCTGACTCAGCACCCAAAGATGTAAACCAGCGAGAACAGCACAGATCAGAGCTTGTTGGGGTTCAGGGTTCAGGGTTCAATGCAGCTCATGAGGAAATAAACTGGGAACAGAGTTCAGGGTTCAGAGAGAATCTAGCATCCGGCAGGTATGTCCTCTGGCCTCAGGGACACAAGCCCAAGCACTGCTGGGGATCCCCAAACGAGGGCCAGGGCTTTCATTCACTAAGCACCGTTTGTTCATTAAGAACATTTATTTAAGAACCGTTTATCGACTGCTCTATGCAAAGCATAGTGCTAGGAACAGTGGAGGAGACGAATATGGATTGGAATGGTCCCTGCCCCCAAGACCCATTGGACCTTGCAGGAGAAAGGAGAGAGCTTCGGTACTCAATGCTCAAAAATCCCATTCAGAAATGCAGGAGAGGTTCCTGTGCCGAGGCAGCAGTGGCCGCGAAAGAAAGCTTCCGAGCTTTTTTCGGATCGCTGGCTGAGGGAAGGGAGAGCCTGCCTGCCTCGAGGACATCCCACTCACTTGTGGAGGCTGAGTATTGATGAGGCGAACCAGGGCCCTGAGGGCAGCAGCAAGAGGAAAGGAGGAAATACGCATTAATTGCTTTACAAATATCATCTCATTCCATCCTCGCAACAATTCGGTGACAGAGGTGCTGTTACCACCCTCATTTTACAGGTGAAGAAACTGAGGCAGACAGGGTTAAGTGACTTGCCCAGGGTCACCTGGTTAGGACACCTCTGAGACTGGATTTGAACTCAGGTCTTCCTGACTCCAAGCCTGGTGCTTTACCTAGTTACTCCTTTGGGAAGGGAAAGAGGCTTGAAATCTTGTTAGATGAGGAACATTTGACTGGAGATGTTTTGCCTGGGAAAAGATAGAGGGGACCCCATTCCATTCAGCAACATCTATTAAGGGCCCATGGTTTCAGTGAGATGAGCATTTTGGACAAACCAGGTCTCTGCCATCAATCAGGAAGCTTTCACTCTGGTGGGGATAGGGGGTGGGGATATGGCAATATGCAGTGTTGTTGTTCAGTCCTTTCAGTCATATGACTCTTCGTGACTCCGTTTAGGGTTTTCTTGGTAAAGATACTCCAGCAGTTTGTCATTTCCTTCTCAGCACTTTTTACAGATGAGAAAACCAAGGCAAATAAGGTGAAGTGACTTGCCCAGGTTCACACAGCTAGTAAGTATCTGAGGCCAGATTTAAACTCAAGAAAATGGGTCTTCCTGACTCCAGGCCAGGCACTTACTGACTGGGGATTGGGGGGAGGGGGAGGGGACACACAAAAAGGCACTCTCTGAAAGAGGTGGCATTTGACCTGGATTCTAAACAATGGGTAGGAATCTAACAGGAAGAAATGAGGGAGGGAAGAGCTTATTCCTGGCACAGGCACCAGCCTAGGTAGAAGCAGAAATGGAGAGAAAGTGTGGGGCAATCCAAGGACAGCATAGGGCTGTATTTGGCTTGGGGGCACATGGAGTGTAGTGCATGACCTTGGGGACATCCCCGGGGCAGCACTGCAAGAGCTCCTGAATGAGGGGTAAGTGAAACCTCTCTCCCTCTTAGAAGAGAGGAGGCAGCATGCCATCTGTCCTGCTCCGGGTCCCTTGCCTACAGCCAATCCCCTGCCCCTCTCTTGCTTAGGAAATACTAAGCAAATCAACTTCGACAATCCACTGTCCTGGGGCTGCACTCAGGAACCCTGGGACACTCCTGTTCATCGTCCAAGCAGCCCTGTGTCTCTGGGGTCCCTGTGCATCTTTACCCTCCCCTTCCGTCGTGTGCAGCAGAAATTTCAGATTATTTTTAACAACCCACTTCTCATATCAGACCTCTTCTTTTCACACTCTTTCCATCTCCTTGAGTCACAGAAACCTGCCTATCTACTGAAGATACTGTATCCTGGGACCCCTTCTCCAGTTGGGGTGGGTATTCCTTCTCTCAGGTTCTCTTACCCCACCCCAAACCCAGGGCAAAGGGGGACAGGAAGGGTGGCTTCTTGGTGCCACTTTTAGGTGCACTCCATCCCAATATATGACCCTATCAAAGTGAATATTTTTGATTTTTTAAGAATTGGATTGGTGGCTATTTTCTCCAGGGTCCCGGGTCACTCTCCCTTCCTTCTCAAGGAGTTTAGTACCTGACTCATAGCCTTTCTCTCCACCCCAAACACTGCCCTTACCCTCATGTGTCCAGGAAACCTTCAAATAACCTTGCTCATGTGTATCGACCTCCTCAACTCCCATGATCTGCCACCCCAGTCACACACAGGAATGGCCATACCTTTGACCTCATCACTCCCAAATGCTCCACCTTCACGACCCATAACTGGAATTCCTGAATCTGGCTGTAACCTCCTGTCCTTCCAGATCCCTTTTCCTCACCCCTCTGAAACCCCTTGTCTATCTTCAACACAACCCAGAGTCCCTGCACCCCTCCCTACTTTCCTAGGCTGTCACCCCTGCTCTGGCCTCACTCCCCTCTCTTCAGAATCTCAACCCTTTTGTTAGCCAGTTTGCCTTTACAGAGTCTTTGACCCTTAAATCCCTTGTCCAATTGTCTTATGAGTAAATGGATGGATGGGTGAATGGATGGATGGATGAACGCATCCCATAGCTAGCCCGCCAACCCTGGATCACTCCCCAACATCTGCTTTCTCTGATCTTGCTTAAGTGCTGGACGGTCCCTAGTACCACTGGACAGTCATATGACCACATTGACCAGGTCTACTACAAATTTATATTAGTCGCTTTCACTGGGACACTCACTTCTTCAACTATTCCCTCCAAACCAGCCCTCCATCACATTCCCCACAGAAGCAGACCCAAAACTTTTCTCAAGCCACATCACCTCATACTTTTCTTAAAAAATTGAAACCATCTGTCCCAAGCTCCTTCTGCACCTCAGCTCCTCCTTCGCTCCAGTCTGGAGGATGAGGGGTCTTCTTGCCAGTGCCAAGCCCTCTACTTAGGTTCTTGATCCCATGCCCTCCCCTCTCTTCCAGGAGCTTGTCCCTTCAACTATTTCCTATCTACTTAATTTTCAGCCTCTCCTTATCCACTGGCTTCTTCCCAACTCCTACAAACACATCTATAAAAGAAAAAAAAATCTTCCCTTGACCTTACCTTCATGCGATTGTCCTATATCTCTCCTCCCTTTCATAGCCTAACTCCAAAAAAACAAAAAACAAAAAACCCTGTCTGTCCTCCTTCACTTCACTTTCTCACTTCCCCCTTATTTCTCATTCCTTTGAAATCTGGCTTCTTTGCCATCACTCAGCTGTTTCCAAAGGTTTCCAAGGTCTTCAGTGATCTTTTTATTGCTAAATCCAAAGACCTTTTCACATCCCTGGAACATCTGACAACTCCTTCCTCCTGGAAACTCTCTTCCCTGGGTTTGGAGACTGTGCTTCCGTGGTTCTCTTATTGTTAGACAGATCCTTCTCAGTCTCCTTTGAAGGCTAACCCGATGTCCCACCTGCTATTGGATGGGTATGTCCCAGCGTTCTGTCCTGGGCCCTCTCTTTCTAGATTTAAAGTCTCTCTTGGTGATCTCATCGGCTCGCATGCATTCAGTGATCACCTCCATGGAGACAATGCTCACATCTGGATGTCCAGCTCACATCTCCTGCTGGATCTCTGCTCTCAAATTCCCAACAACTTGCTTGGCATCTCTACCTGGAAGTCACAGAGGCATCTCAAATTCAGGACATCCAGACCGAATTTGTCTTTTGCCTTAAACCTGTCTTTCCTTCTAACTTTCCCATTTCTGTCAAAGACACCCCCTTTGACAGATCACTGACCTTCCAGTTGTCCAGGTTCAGATCTAGGAATCACCTTGACTCCCTCTTACCCTCCAGAGCCAATCAGCTGCCAAGTCTTGTCAATTTCCCCCCTTCAGCATCTTTAGTATCCATCCTCTTCTGTCCAGTCATGTCATAGACACCCTGGTCCAGGCCTCATTCCCTCTGGCCTGGATCACTGCAATGGTCTACTAAATGGTCTCACTACTTCCACTCTTTCTCCTTTTCAAAATTATCCCTGGCAGAGCTGCCAAAAGGATCATCCTAAAACTCAGGTCTGACCCTGTCACTCCTCTGCTCAGGAAGCTTCAGTGGCTCCCTATTACCTTTAGGATAAAACACAAATTTTTGTTGGGCATTTAGAACCCTTTAAAAGCTGGCTCTAAGCTATCTTTCCAGGATGATTGTACTTTATTTCCCATCCCTTCAGCCCCTGAGGCCCTGGAGAACCGATTTACTTGCTGTTCCCCTTACA